CTGTTTATGTTAGGTCACAAATAGCCCATGTTAATGCTCTGGTTACAACACAGCTTTGCGGCCGGTGTTATTCTTATTCTTATGACAATCACGTTGCCATAGAGGCAGACTTTGCGCTAGAATAACATCCATACCACAAACGCTTGTAATGTAGGTCACTCTCATTTACACACACCAACGCAAAGGTCCCTCTGTTTAGCCTAAGCGACTGCATAAAAGGGAGAGTGCTGTTAGCAAGCGCCTATTGAGGGGCGGAGTTACCAGAGCCAAGCACACCTGGCCTTCTTTGTCTCTCTAGTTCTGACGTAATGCATTTACAACATCATTTTAGGCCGAGTCAATCATCTACAGTGGTCCAGATGTCTTGTGACACCCCCCCCCCCCCCCCCGCTTTCCGATAAATGACCCCAAAAATGTTTTCTCCTTAGCATGCTACATTTATGTTTGAAATTAACCTTACTCCAAAAAAAAATACTTTTAGAAAATTTCATTTTGGGGGTCACGTGACATCTGGACCAACCTGTCCACTACAGTGTCAGCCAAGGTAAGGTTCGGTGAGAGAAACTGGAGCTCCTGTGTTACCAAGGGATTGAACCCTGGGGAACTGACACTGCAGCAGTGTGATATCCAATGCGCACAATTTACGCAAGTGACAACGATCCCTCCATTCAGCCAGATAAGACTGTTGTTGGGGCAAGGGCTTTTGGCGAGCACACGCACAGGTAAGGCGCAGAGGATACGAAGCAGTGGTGTGGCTAGCGCCGTGCCGAAGCTGCCTTTGCCTTCCCCAGTACGGACGGATGCTTAGGTAATTATTTTAGGTTGAGTGAACCTAGAGGTGGCCCTGACCTGGCGAAATATGTTGAGAACGCAATGTGGTCAGTACCACACCGCGCTGATTTTACACACTGTATCACGTTTGTGCTATAAAGTCAACCTCGGCGAGACAAACTATGATACTTGTCCAGTGATATTGTCCATTGACTAGGAATCGAACCCAGGTGACAAGAGTGTGTAGTGGCACGTGCAAAACATTTCACTAATGCTCCACAGTATTTTTTTTACTTAGAAATGTAAACATTTCCGACGATGCCGAACAGGCTTGTTGGGGCAATTGCCGGTAACGAGCACCGAAGGTTGTCACGGTGCATGTATGTGGAGCTTCTTTGTATGTTGAACTTCTTTCGCACCGTACGTAGCCAACCGTGCTAATAATCGCAGGTGCATAAAAAAATGGCATGGCCAGCACCACAGCTTTCCACATTTGAAACGGAACATTTGAACGTTTTTTATTTTACCAGGTAGGGTCCACTGAGTTATACAGCTCTTTTTAAAAAGCGACCTGGCCGCAAATGATAGCTCAACGAAGTGGCTTATCGTGTGGAAATTGATAGCAACCACATGCTATGAACGCACGTTTCTAAATGCGGAGGGAAACACCGGAGGACCCGGAAAAAAATTCACGCGACCACAGGGAGAACACGCAAACTCCAAATATACAGACATCGTCAGGGTCGCGATCGAACCCACGACCTCCTGTATACCGGGCGAGATAGTCAACATCTCGCCACTGTGGGGCCCATGTGCTGTTGTTTACACACTGCACCACTCAATTTAGGCAGAGTTGACCAAGCGGAGTCCCAGGACATCCAAAGACAATCACGTACCACCGATGTCAGCCACGACCGGGAAATGGAACTCGGGTGGCCACGTTCAAAGTGTAGCGCGCTACTCACTGTGCCACTGCTCCCCGGCATTTAACCACACACGCATCATTGAAGCGTATTCTTAAGATAACAAGATGCCCTGGAAAGTAAGACATGGCCACACCTCGGGGTGTTTTTTTTTGCTAACAATTGACCTTTATAATCCTGAGCACTGTACTACGGAGCACCACGAAAACTGAGAAATGTCGTAAGTGTTCTGACCCGGCTCTGCTGGACATGTGTGAGTAAAGAGCTTCACAGCGCATCGGATTTCTCCAGTTTGAATAAACACTCCGCATTAGATTGAATCGCATCTTCTGGGGGGTGACGTCATTTCCTGTGTTGAGCCGCTTCAATGGACACGAGGCAGAGATGCATTTTGGACGAGGATTCTAATCGGCTGCCAGTGTCTTCAGTCCTCTGCGTGGTAAAGCGTGGATTGTTGATGACGACTTCCTCACGATGACTCTGAACAATTAGATTCAATCGCGTCGTCCTAGGAGGGCATGTGGTTATCTGGATTATAAGACGCATCCCTCCCCCATACAGGGGAGAGGGGGGAGACAATTTACTGGGCAGCTGTGAAAAAATTAACTCGTAAATACAAAGTTTTTCACTATAAATCCTTTATATGCGTGGCATCGGTTTTATTTCAGCCCACATTGGTGTTTGAAACGGGCGGCTAGAGTCCTCTCGTCCTCTGCCTTGAGATGGCTACCACCTATGGGTCAGATGATAGCCTGGCAGCATTAATCAATTGGTTATTAAATATAAAAATAAATTCCTAAAAAGTGTAAAATTTTGGAAAAAACATTTTCACGAAAATTGTCGCGCACAACGAGTCTGTGTGCAAAATATCAGCTCGATTGGATCACGGGAAGTGGCTTAAAAAACGACCGAAAGATTTGCACGGTCGTAAGCAAGCACGCAAGCACGCAAGCAAGCAAGTTAACTTAATATAAAGGATTTAAAAATAGCTTAATAGCTCATCGGATTTCTGACACGATGAATAAAGTTTAACACGGAGGGCTTTCGCGATCACATTCATCCCTCGATTTACAGGAGGAGGAGTTCTCCAAAAATCTGGCTGTCACCTGATGATGCCGATTGTAATTACTTGGCGAAAACGTCACGGTACTTGAATAGTAGTGGACTAGTAACGAATTGCCGCGTTTTGTGTACGTGACAAACCTTACTAATCGGCTGTGTTGGGTGGCGGTGGGTTTAATGCCACATTAATATTTACGCGATCTAACCCAAAAAAAACATCCTCTATGAAATAGAAACTAATTAACGATTCCGATTCTGCATCGCATCAATTTTGTTGCCACGGCAACGGCTAAAAACATCAATCACAACAACAAAAAAATGACAAAGCCACAGTTGTGTAGAAATAAGTTGTTCGTTTGTTATTAGAACGCCTCATTATACAAGGCACATATACAACAGGGAAGGATCAGGGTGTCGTTTTGCAATATACACAGGAGGAGATAATACACTGTATACTGTTTACATATTTATATGAGACCGTATGTAAAAAAAATAATCAAAGAATACAATTACACGTTCTTAGAATCATCCCCAACCACCCCTCCCCAAATAAAGAGACATCGTCGGAAAGGAAATGTGTACATCTTCTTGGTTCTTTCGGTAAAGTCACGTAGAAGGGAAGTAATAAAATAATAAAAATACAGCTTCAACTCGAGTGTGTAAACATATCAACATCGCGAGGGCTTTCAAGTGTAACCACCGCCAACCACCGAACCACAATGACAGGTTGTACCCCAAAGTCCGTAACAATTGGGAGCCAAAAAATAAACAAACGCACGCGCCGCATGAAAACAAAACAAAGGACGATTAATAATAAAACGACAACAACAACCACCATGCCCGGCCCTTACGGAACCGCCTCTTAGCCGAGACTCAAGTCTGCAGGAAAGGGAAGAAGAACCCCGAGACCGCGTTCAGGATGACAGCAGCGGCAAACCACCTGGCGGGTTTCGTTAAGCGGCATCCGAGATCAAAGTGACACGGCAAACGTTTATTAAAACAGTGACGAACACCCCCCTCCATCCTTCCCCACACACACAGACACATCCTCGCAGGGTGACGGCTGCTTTAAATGGCCAGATGCAGTGGGGGAAGCTTCCACGATAACGCGTGTGAGATAAAAACTCATTTAAAAAAATCAACTAATAAATTAGTTCTTTCCACCATCACCACCTTTCACCCTGCTCCCCCCCCCCCCACACAATTCCCCTGCCCGCGCACAGCGCAATTTCTATTCGGTCAGTCAACATTCTCTTTCTCCGGCAAAGAGGTTCTATTTGGATGAGATGGTGGGGGCCGGCAGGCGGGCGGGCGGGTGTATGATGTGATGGGGTGTATGGGTGGGTGGGGGCGATCATCTTAAAGAGAATATTCAAAGCGGGCTCAATTTATTCAGGTCAAATTGTCTTGCCAAAAATAGTAGTAGTAGCAATAATAATTAAACAACTCCGATACGAAAGCCGTAACCTTGTAACTGTATGTTCGTTTCCTCCGAAGGCTGTTTCTCTCTTAAGTCAGCTGGCGCTTACAATGCAATAACACCGTCATTGTGAAGGTCATAAAACGCAACACCCTCGGCTAATTACGCCCATCCACCGTTGCCTAAGAGCGCACGAGCAAACCGGAGGCAATTTGATTAAATGCCGCACCACTACTTGCTGTGTGTATTTGTAAAGGTCTGAGAAACGAGGTGCCCTTTACGCACGCACGCACGCGCGCACGCACGCGACATCGTCTATTTACATGCCTTCTGGTTTTCTGTTGTTGCTGCTCGGAATGTGAAAATTCACCCCTTACACCATCGTAAGCCAATGGGTCAATCCAGCGCTTTCAAGGGAGGGCCAAACTCACCAAAATTGCGTGAGAGGTGGTGGCTGCTTGGGAAGAACATCTAACAGTGGATTTTGTAAGTGGCCAATCCACGCACCCTCCCCCCCAGCGTATGAACCGTCACGGACTCAGGGTCACGAATCAATTCGCAAATCTATGCTCATTTAATTGTATTATTCACGTGGTCTTGAGATGTGTTTGCCCCTTCGAAGTGAAATCCCAATTGTAGCCATCACCGACATAAAATTTCGATGTAAAGCTTTCGTGACTGCAGGGATTCATCTTCTTGGTTCTCTCGGTAAAGTCACGTAGAAGGGAAATAATAAAAATAAAACATAATATTTTATTATGTTTTATTTTTATATTTTATTATGTTTTATTTTTTTTTATTCTATTATTTCCCTTCTACGTGACTTTACCGAAAGAACCAAGAAGATCACCGACATTGTTTAGGTGGCACGAATCTGTGGACTCCACAATGCTTGTACGAAACAAAACAGAAAATAAACATGCACAGAACTAATTGATTCTTACACGCGCTCATTAGCTGCTTAGACCGTGCGAGTCCATGACCCATACAACCCCCCAGCGCTGCTTTCATTCGAATCGACGAATCACGGCGTGCCGACCGCGTGAGTTTCCAGTGCAGTCGTGGTCACGTTAAACCACTGCGCGTCATTCTCCCTCCGCAGCCAAAACAATAACTCTTGTGGAGGTGGTGGTGGGGGGGGGAGACGTGCATCATCATCGTCGTCAACAACGAGGCGACCGACACCTCCTCCTCACGAAACGATCTGCTGCCCCCAGCGACCACAACCCATTTTAACCTTCGAACCCCCCCCCCCTCCTGACAGTTTCTACCACGCGATCAAGACGATCAAGACGCTACAAAAGCCACCGCACCCACCTCCCCGGCCTTCCTTTCCCAGGGTGTTGTCGTGGTAGTTTAACCCCCTGGAGCAACCCGGGCTTTAACAGGCCTCTCTCTCGCTCGCTCTTCCTGCCCATCGCCCCCCTCCTTTGGAAACCTCAAGCCCAATTGCGGTTGAATCGTTCCAACAGGTGTCCCCGCCGGGCTTTTGTTGCGTCCTTTCATCCTGCAGCGAGCGATCAAAAAGGGGCTCCATTTCCACTGCCTTTCCCCCGGCCCGCCACATTCTCCCTGCCAATTATCTGCGAGACCGCTCGCGAATGCGGCCCCGGTCGTGGCTAACGCGGCCGCGAAACGCTACGCGCTGCTGCGTTTTCGGACCTTGCTGTGCGTCGTTCGGTGCGACATTCCGCTGAAACGAATTTGAAATGTCGGTTCATCGCGCCAATCAACAGCACGCGGTTAAACAACCTCCACCACCCCCCCCCCCCCCCCCAAAATGAAAAAAAAACAATTGGAAGGAGTCACACGGTACGATCTCGAAAACCTACGGGAGGCGGTGCGGGTAATGCCGCAGAGTTGTTGATGCGTGGATGCGGATTTGTAAAAAAAAAACGCATGCATTGGTCTGTGTGTGCAGGCTTCCATTGCTGTGCAAATAAAACGTTGACAAAATCAGTAGGCGTGTAACGATGGATCGATTTCGAGGATCCAAATCGTTTCTAAGCGCGCCGAAAAAATTAAGTTGCGGATGTGAGAATAAATTGTTCGTGCAAAGTATTCTCATGAAGCCAATGAGATTGTATAAACATGGTGCACAAAATTAAAACATTACAGCGACTCGAATCGCAACCTCGGGGATCGTGACAATTCGTCGAATAGCTGGGAGGAGTAGGCGAATCCTATTACTTGACCCAAAATCAGTTCACACAAGAGGTAAAGAAGGAGTGCCCACCCCACCCCCCTGCAATTGCTTTGCTCGCTGGCACAAGCGCGAGTTTAGCAACGTTAAAGAGCACAAAGCAAAGTCAATTCAGTAGATTAATATTTCTTCTTACATCTCACCGCCAGCCGATTTAATTTCTGTATTAGGGGGACCAGGCGGTTTTTTTTCTCTCGTTAAATATAAATATTAAAAGACATTGTCGAACACGGTTAGACACGCTCAAGTCGCCACGTGATATTGAGCCAAAACAAAAAGAAACCGTCATCAACATTTGAAATAAATATTCGTACACTTCGCTTGCGGAAACATAAATTATCACGTCGTCGTATAAATACACACTGTTTAATCACCGTTAGCTCGTACGCCAACAAATGTGAAATATAAAACGATCCTAGGCTCACGATAGACATCAAGCAGTTCTTTTTTAATAGTGCACTTTCACCTTTTGTTGTTTTGTTTTTGTTACCAAATAAATCTACCGTACAAGATGGTATTTTATTGAAATTGCGGTCGGTAAGTCACTTGGATTCTACAGATGCACGTATATAAACGTGATGAATATTACATATCGACAAAGCTTCATCAATTTTACGCGGCAATGCACGTTACTTTTTAACGAGTAGCTTTAGCGAACAGGAGATAAATACTTTATGGATTATACATATCGCGTAAATAATTTATATACACCAAACAGTAAACACTGCATGAAGATATGATACAGTATTCATGTTTATATTTGCTTGTGTGTGCATATGGGCATTCAAGCGATTGATTTTACATAATTCATTGCAATAATGTTCGACTAGGCTGGTTCGCAGAAGCCTCTTCCTGGAACTGCCGATAAAAGAAGGGGCAAATCAGATACCGTCTAACATAAGAAGGCGGCTGGTGTTTGTAATGAATTATTTGATTATTGTGCTAGTGGTATTAGACCTAGGGCAAAATGCTCTTCCATTGCTAGAAACTACCGATCTTGCAATGCAATCTAACACAAAGGTATTGATAAAGACATGAAATCAAGGCTTAACCCACCCCAGCACCTCACTCAAAAGTAAAAGCAAGTTAAATTGGTTTCCTGCTTTTAACAAGCATGGCAGAAGTGGCTTAATCTATTCCCGGTCGAGGCAGCGGTGGACATTCCACATTGCTGTGTCCAGGGGTGCATATATTTATAGAACAGCCCACTGGAGACTTTCCCATATAGTCGGGTATTCTTTATATTGACCACGTAGTGGACGACTGGCCGAATCGACCTCCCCAGTGGGATTTTAACCTCGCAAAGCTTCTGCTCACGAGTGAAGCCCCACTCACTGATCACCCTGGTGGTGGTTCCACCTCGGGTCAGATGTTTCTGACATGAACAAATGTTTAGCGTTGACGTCAGAATACAACTCGTGGTTATGATCGATTCGAGAACAATTGCAAACGTCAACGTGGGTGGGTTTTTGGAGCCACTGGTGAATTGATGGATAGTACAAAAAATGTATAGCATGAAACGTTGTCGTTGCACTATCAACACCTGATATTATAACCACATAGGCTTAGCTGTGCTGGCTCGGCCCGAGATCACAGGAGGAAAATCTGAAATTCATGAACAACCCAGCCATCTTCCAAATAAATCCATTTTGCAAACGTCCCTTTTTCAATATGACAATTTTCTTTAAAAGTAGAGGTACAAAGAAAGCCAGCAACTGAAGAAACATCCCTTTGAAAGTCTATGCGAGCTCCTCGTAGTAAGAATAGTTTAAAGCAATTGATCGAACCCAGCGGTATTAAAATTGCCGGATGTAGTCTACGGGTAAAAACGCGGAGAAACAAAAGATGCCCCATGTGGCTGTGCACCAGGATTGATTTTGAGCACTCACTTTAACCACTCGGCACCAGACTGAAGCATGCTATAGCCTCGCTTCGCAAAGGTCGCGTCGCAAAGTCAATAGCTGTACACCTCTCTCAATTGCCGAACCGTCCCACAAAAAGGTAACGCCACTTTTCCACGGCATTTATTTATTTCGACGACAAATCCAACCAGGTACGCGATGAACGCGAGACAATGCAAACCGCCTCCACCCACTCCCGTTTAATAATTTATGTAAAACTTGAGAAATGAAAAATCGATAATGCTTTTTCGCAAGAACGAGGCAGTTTTAATGGAGGCAAAGACAATCTTTAATATAGTGGACGAATATTATATTTTCACTCGTGAATTTTAGGCTCACAGATTAAAAAAAAAACTGAAAAGATATTATAAGATATTTTATACAGCGCCAGTAAAACGATCCCACCTACTGTTAAGGCAGATTAACCACACACCATTAAACTGATGTTTGTTACACAACAGTACGAGTCGTCATCATATGCACCTTTGCACATGAATTTGCAGCATATTGATTGTTCCTTCAGGTCAATTCGCAGCCTGCAACGAGACAATTAAAGCGAGTCAGATCACGCGATTTTAATTACAACAATTAAACAGACTTTGAACTTTGGCCAAGACATTTTTGTTATTGCTCTAGGATATCACGTGTTTTTTTTGTAGATCACGGTTGTGGAGCGCAGGCCCAGAGACCTAAAACGCCAATCAATCCGCAACAAACAGCACTAATGTAGGTTTCATAGATAATATTTCGCGTGTTAAACTATAATCATTGGCAGATGTGGAAAAAAAATACAAGCCATGGGGGGTGGCACGCATTTCTGTGGTCCCTAAACCAGTGGTGGAAATTCCACATTCCCATGGAGGGGTCAGTTCATTAGATAGCCGCTTTCGATGTGTCGAAAAATAGGTCACATGAATAGCAGGTCAAGATATAGTAGTAGGTTTTTACCCTTTTAAACTGGTACAAAACTGACACCTTTATTCAAGGCATCATGTTTGCAATAACCACAACACAAGTAGTCAAAAAAGCAAACAAAAAGAAGCAACTCTGATAATGATAATGATATGCACTGCCCTTGAAGTTGATTGGTCCACACCCGAGACGGCTTTCATTAGAGCCTAGTCCCCCCATTGGTGTTGGACCAGATGACACCAGAAGGCGTACAACTCAAACACAGTGCAATATCAGAGTATTGAGAGCTCGAGGTAAGCATTTACACTATGAGATCTCTTTTACCAGTGGTGTCAGTTTTGTACCAGTTTAAAAGGGTAAAAACCTACTACTATATTTTGCCACTGGTAAAAGAGATCTCATAGAGCAGGTCAAGAGTTGACCTCTGACTGGGATTTGAACCCACAATCTTTAGCCTAAGAGTCAGGCATCTCTAACCACATTGCTACCCGGGCCACATCATAACAAAAATCTGCCCAATCTATAATATCACCACAATAATATGGCATGTCTGCTTAAGAAAACTACACTAACACATGCATACACTGACTACAGGGGAAAGAGCCGTTTGTAATCACCGATTAAGGACATGGCATATGAGAGGACAGTGTGACCTACCGCCTTTGTCTCCCTAACACCGAGGTTCACATTTCAGACACCAGGTAGTCACTTTAGTCTGAGTCAACCTAGAGGTAGCCCAGGTCAGCCTCAGAAGCGCAAATGTGCCGCCAACGCGATGTGACGGCACCGCGCCAGTGCCGGTTTTATGCACTGTGCCAGCATTATTAGTTAAGGTCGAACCAACCTAGGAGAGTCACGCTCATGAATGTGCCCCCCCCCCCGCCCCCTCCCCGACTGGTGTCAACCATATTTGGGAATCAAACTCGGGTTGCCGGGTTCATATCGCAGTGCGCTAACCACTGCGCCACCACTCTCTCTCTTTGACGCACACGCAGAACACAGCTGTTTCGGGGGGCCGGTGATATAATAAGTGTGAAGACGAATGGAAATTGACAAATTAGTCCCATGCATACGGGTGACCTTTTCAAGGGAGATATACTGTCGAGTTAATGGAATCCCGCTCTCCTCCAACACTTTGAATGTTTTCCCTTCAAAATGCGCACTAATAATGCAACAGACAGGGCTCATCATATAATAGTCACCTAATCGTATTTAGTAGAACAGTTATTCTTACCCATACAATCATTAATGAAACATTGTCACCATAATACACATTTTCCCCCCTAACATGTGAATAAGCTGTTAAGAACATTTTTTTTCGCACAGCATTGTCCCCGATGTTCATTGTATGATCTCTATTCTGTTTGGTTATTTAATTAGTTCCGTATGTTTTATTCATCCATTCATCTATAAGCCAATTACTGCCGTACAGCTGTCTAGCCAGGGGTGAATTTAATTTGGCCGAGCTTAGTGTATTCTTACCCTATTATTAGCAACCATGAATCATTATTGAATGGCGGTTCCAATCCACAAAACAGAGGCTTACGTTTCAAACGTATGACAATTTGCGCCGAGTTGGTAAAAGGGCAATTGCTCCGACTGATGCAAATCATGTCACAGGGTAAAATTTAAAGCAAAACAGTTGAAGCGCAGCCCCTACAATTGCTCACACCCCACTGCTGGAAGAGCATCAACTACAGCAAGCTTAAGAAAGCCCCCTCTACAGCATACTTTGGCCTACTCTTTCACACCGGCCAAAACGGAATACCCACAATTTTACCCTACTGGAAGCAACTTTGCCGAACGACTGGAAGTGCTGTTACCTATTTATTCTGCTGGGTGGACGGAGGTGCGTGAGGGATTTTACGAACGTTTCTGCTGTCTCAACTGCTGAGCCGAGAGATAGAACTAGCGACTTATGGATTTGCAAGGCTAGTGTGCTAACCATTACACTATAGCAGGCTGCAGCGGCATCATCATATCACAGGGTATTTCACTTTATAGATGGTGTGCTATAGTAATGGTTTAAATTGTTATTAGGTGGAGATAACATTTATCTTGAACTTCTTTCGCACCATACGTAGCCAGCCGTGCTACTTGTTAGTGATATTAACAAATCACTAACCTATATGCATTCATATCATTGCAATAATAATGTCCTTTGTTGATCCTTGTAGAGAGTGGGTGGAAGGAGTAGTGGTTTGAATATTGTGCTATAAACCCAGCAAATCTGAGCTCGACTCCTGGCCCGCGGCCAACGTAGAGGAGGCCCAGGCCAAAGTAAGATTTCAGTTGCTGCCTATGCTGTGCATCATGGCCAACGATTGGATTGGGATTGCAGCGCGGTGAGTAAACAGCAAACGTGCACAATGATTGGCCCTGGCTCGACTCAACCCATCATATCTCTGAGGTGCAAGTCAACAGTGGCTGTGTTATGATTTAAATTGGACTCCTGCCACAGAAATGCGTAATTTCCACCTCTGGTTCAGAGCTACCAAAACAGAAGAAACCATGCTACATGGCTATTTTGAACAGGTCGAACGTGAATCTAATTTGAGGACAGGAGGCTCACCAACCTTTTATCACCTTTGCTGTGAAACGGTCGCAGATGCAGGCGGCTGTGATAAGACAGGTGGGCCAGATACACCTTCAGTACAACAGCACGCACAAAGTTCACTGTCAGTACAAGTTTCTACAATGCTACCAAGTCCAATTGTAGTCAATGACTGATAGACATGCGTACAGATGGTCACAATGAATGTGTTGTATTTAACGCTTGGGAGCCATGCTCCCAAAATTGTCTCTTTGGTACCAACGATGGTGGCAATTTAAACATTGATTTTAAACTGTATCATCTCCAGTAGATCACACATATGTATGATAGCAAGGCCATCGTTGTAGCGTTTATCAGACTAAGGTTACCGTAGAACGTTTGACAGATACTCTTAGTTTTTTCGGTAAAGTAACGTAGGTAAAAAATGAAATTAAAATTAATAAAAAAGAATTTTTTTTTTATTAATTTTAATTTCATTTTTTACCTACGTGACTTTACCGAAAAAACTAAGAGTATGAATCCTTGCAGTCACATGTTTGACAGATAATATTGTTTTCAACGAAAACTATTCAGATTGGAATCATGTGCAGAATATGACAATGAATATAAAGACCGTGTACAGTAAAACGGACAATGAATATGCTAATCTCTCTGGAATGGTGGACGTTCGTAGCATTGTTCTCCCCACGTGGTACTGACCAACCCCCTTTCGCTTATGGGTTATAATGTGTCCAGTAGGCCAAGGCCTCTGTGTGGAAAAGATTATGGGAAGTGAAACATTAAAAAACACAAATGAGCCCGTGCCAGGCGATTACAAGAATGTGCCCAGCATGGTTCGGATCCGACTAAATTGCAACGGCCGTGGAAAGGCCGCAATTGACTTTAACCAGTGACGCTGTGGTTATAAATATTATTAAAATTATTATTTTTTTATCAGGTGAGGCCCCACCGAGCTATATTACATATTCTTTCAGAAGAGACTAGGCCCACAAATGATAGCTCAACCAAGTGGCTTATCGCGTGGAAATTTATAAGCAGAAGCCAAATTCTCAAAACGCACGGAAGGAAAAAAATCGGAGGGCCCGGAGAAACATCCACACGACCACGGGCAGAGAGACATACGCACGCACACTCCGAATATACAGCAGCAAGGCGTTCAAGGGTCAGGATCGAACCCACGACCTCTTGTATACCAGGCGAGGGTGTTAACATCTCGCCACCGTGGCGCCCACACCTGTGTAGTGGTCGTAGGGGCTGCTGGGGTCGGGGTATCCCGTGCCCTGGAGGGTCATGGCGTGCTGCCGTCTCGAAGGTGGAGGACTCGACGCCCTCTTCCGTTTTTCTCCGCCCGCGTCCTTCTCTTTGTCCGCGGAGGACCTCTCGGCAGCCTAATGTCAGAGGTCGTTCCATGTCAGGACAGTTCGCGACGGACAGATCAACGTCGGCCAGTGCTGTTCGTGAAATTACGCCCATCCTTCTGCCAGATCCCCGCAACTATCACGACTATTTTATTTTACCAGGTAAGGCCCACTGAGCTATACAGCTCTATTCCGCAAGCGACCTGGCCCACAGATGAGAGCTCAACGAAGTGGCTCGTCATGTGGAAATGCATAGCAGCCAAATACTCAAAACGAATGTCGATTTAAAATGTGGAGGGAAAAAACGGAGGACCCGGAAAAAAAAATTCAAGCGCACACCGGGGGCAGCAGGTGTCAGGGCCAGGATCTAACCCACGACCTCCTGTATAGCAGAGGAGGTAGTTCTCGCAACTGCATCGACCTGTTGCAAAGCAAATACTGAAAACTGTTGCAGAGGGAATAGCAGACCTCTAAGGGCTGTTCTTACAGTCTCGTCACCAACATCTGGCATTAGACGACAGCCGCTTGGAATCCACAGCGAACGCCTTTCTCAGTACCATGCCCCTCTCCCGTTATGCCCACCGCACGTGTCCCTCCCATCACAACGTCCTATGTTACACATATATTAGATTTCGGCAAGTGATCCTGTTTGTCAGCCTGCACGCTAAGCCTCAAGTATTGGCCTACGCCATTCTGATCAGCAAAACCGTATCTGGGAATTTTTTGTTTCATGCAACGCATGGATGGCGATTGCTCTGCATGTCTTTAGCCACAATGGTTGCGGAAGGCAAGTGCGATTTTTTGCAAGCGCCTATTAAGGCCAGGAAGACACACGAGCGATGGTTGTGACCAGCACCTCGTCCTGCTGCCTTCGGCAATCCAGTGCTGCCGTTTACACGCCGCACCAGGATGCTTGGCCTTACGGCTGCGTCTAAACCCGAGGGGGATACTTACGCCTGGCGATTTTCTCGACTTCTGCGGTTCCATCTTCATGCTGAACATTCCGTCGCCGTGTCGCTCCGGGTCCAACTCTTCACTTCCCGGCAGCTTCCCATAGCTCGAGTAGTAGAGGTTTGGTGGAACATAACCCCCTGAATGAATAACGCGTACGCACATTGGTCAGTTCAAAGGGGCACGTGTGAAAAAAGAACAACAACAACGGCGTGTTAAAATAAAATCCGCGAGCTTTTAAACGCGCGTGGTTTCCGTTCACTGAAAGAGAGAGAAAATGTATTCAGAGGTGCTGGACAAAAGCCAAAGACATGTGGGGAAGGCAGCCAACGATAGCGCAATATATTTGGCTCTACACTGGGATGTGCTTGGCCGACTATGATTAAATGATTTAACATGTGGGATTAAAATCAGAGTGGCCTGCGAAAACAAAACGTGTGCAATGGGTATAACACATCCATTGATTAACGCTGCGTTATTACATTTCACGACCGCAACAATGGCACTTCCCGTCAGTTCCTGTTAGGGTCGTAATTTTGTGCCCGCTGCTGTATCTGGTGTCATCGTGTTGAAATTCACAATATCATCTTTTTTCGAATTGATGACTTCAAGGAAGAGGGGGGAGGGGTGGATGCCACAGAAGAGTGAAATGAAGACGAAAGCTCACGATCATTGGCTTCCAATTAAATCTGGGGAACAATTTAAAATAACGCCGCTCGCATACAAGGCCCTTAAACGGCCTTGCACCATTTTACATTCACGTACTGTCACAACCTCTCCGATCCACCGATTTACATCTGCTCCGAGCCTATGCTTGCGTTGCACAAAAACTACGGAATGCCCTCCCCTCCCCTACCACCAGTGGGGAGATGGGCGAGGTGACTCGCCGCGATTAAGTCTTCTCTCAAGACTCGCCTGTTTTGCCTGGCCTACACTTCCCGTGTGTGACCAGTGGACTCTGAGACTTTGCAGTATTCCATTTCCTAACTTCGTGCGTGGCGCTCCGAGATCGTTGGATGAATTGCGCCGTATAAATGTAAGTCAACGTCATGATTATTATGACGGGAATAGGGCGCAAGGGGGCTTTGAGCACAAGACCTGCCATCGGGCAGAGTGCTAAAGAAGAAGAACACACTAAACGAGTGTAGGAAGCTGAAGTTTTGGAGCAATGGGCCTTCATCAGAGAACAGCGAGAAGAACCACGTGGCAGAGAGAATTGCTGACTTGCGGTTGGAGGTGACAACTTCATACCGTGGAGCTCCAAGAAACGGAGACATTTTAAGAGAGCCGGCAAAAAGAAGCGTTGTAATTTGATGACGAACGTACATTTTCATTTTTGCTAAATATAATTCACTGCGTTTCATGTCACAGGTAACAGAGTCGAGGCCATCGACGCTGCACTGGAATGCGTGACCTCAAGGGAGATCTGTCAAAAGCATATTTGGTAACTCGCAACACGTAAACTGCGGCTACTGAAACGTTTCTTAAGTTGCCGTATATAATAAAGCATTTAATTAAAAGCACACGCGATGTGTAATAAATAATAAAGGCTGCTGCCGCATTAGGTGTGGCAAGTCTGTAACTCTAGATGCAGCTTTCAGCTCAGCTCAACTGAATGGAAACATTTACATTTTTTAGAGGCTATTAAAGCAATTTAAAATAATTAAACGTAATTTACAAAATGCTGCGGTAATTGCAATTAACAACAATTAAGTGCCCCGCCAATAGAAGCTGGTAAGGAATTGCATGGACACGCCGATTCGACTCGGCATATTGAGCTAAACTAATTGATGCTTAGATTGTAAGCGAAATGTTTGGGGAGTAACATTATGCACCTAAGCGCATTAAGTCACTAGCTCACACATCAGAAGACCGTTTCAAAAGCTATGTACTGTAGCATGTATTCAAGTAGGCGCTGATGTTGTAAACTTTATAGAATGTCAATGCTGTCTATGAACTCTGCAGGACCTCATCTGTCAGTCAGCGTCTCCCCCCACCCCCACCCCCCCCATCTGCGTCTCCCTTCCCCTTGTCTGCCGCATGCTTGCCTCAGCTGCTGTCGAACATCTCATCCATGCCTTTATCGCACACCTCGACTCCTCTACTGTAACCCTCTCTCCTCCACAGCTTCCCCCAAAATTCCTCAACTTCAACATCCAAAAAGGATCCAATATCCCACTGCCAGCCTTCTCACCCACACCCATCGATGGGGACCACATCTCCCCCAAACCATCGATCACTCCACTGGCTCCAAATCCAGTCCTGGGTCAACTGCAGCAGTGGTTGCAGACCTCTCTGGACCTGCTGGCCACTGTCAATCCTCAAAACGTATCTGCGAACTATACTGGGTGCTCTGTACATAAATAAATATCACAGATAGCTGCAATAGATCCGAAGACTACTCCCCATGGCGTTGTACACCACCAGGGCTCCAGGTTGGGAAACAATGAACTACAGGATTTTCCCCTCACCATCTTCAAAAGGTCCTCCATGGACTACGTCTTGTTCCTCACCTCACTCTACTTCCCCCCCTTCACACTCTCTCTGCTCCAGCAACCAAGGTCTCCTGTTGCTTCACTGTTCTCTCCGACCATCAACCATCATCAACACCACGATTCGTAAAGAGGTGAATAAACAAACAGAGGATTGCACGGACGAACTGCCCCGCCCCGCCGAAGGGCCCACTGGCCAAACTCACCCGTGTAGAAGTGCATCATCATGGGAGAGAGCCCGCGGTAGGCCGGATGGCCCGAGTCGCACATCTGCCCGTACGAGGCGGGCATGCCGGCCTGCAGCGAGGGGCTCAGGGCGGTCGCTTGCGAGGGCCGCGGCAGTTTGCCCTGCAGCTCCCGGCTATGCTGCCCCATGCCACGTCCGTCGGGGGCGACCGGCTCCGTGGGGCACGCGCGGAGCAGCGAAGGGCCCTTCCAGTCGTGCTGCTCTAAGCTCACGTCGGGCTCCTTCTCCGCACGCCTCCACAGCTCCTTCTCGGCGGCGCGCTGCCGATCCAGGTACTGGCTGTAGTAGAGCTGCTGCCAGCGATTCATCTCGTATTCCTGTGCGGGCGCGCACGCGGGGAGGGACCGCGCGTTTTAGAGTTTTCACAACAAAAAGGCCCCCCTCTTTCTTCCGTGCTAATCGGTATTGAAAAAATAATCACGAAAAGTATTGACTAAAATACATTTGAACAAAACCAAAAACACCACCACCACCACCACCGCCGCTTCCATCATTAGACGTGGGCAATCCAGTTCCGGATGATGGCCTCAACCCCCAAGCCACTGCCTTCTCTCACGATCACGCAATCGTGGGAAATAATCCGCCGATTTGTATCGCTCTCATCTCCTTGCTGAACGCCACCTCCCCCCCCCCCTCTCAGATGCATCCCATTCGATATCAACGACTGTGTGAACAACAGTTAAAAATCCACGGAGAACGGCTGCTGTACCCAACAGCCACGTGATACAGTAGGAAGATGGCAGCACAAAATGCAAACCAAGGCCATGTCAATGCGCCAAAACATAACCATTTTTTCTCGATTTGAAGCTTTCGTGACTGCAAGGATTCATACTCTTAGGTTTTTTCGGTAAAGTCACGTAGGTAAAAATAAATAATAAAACAATAGAAATAATAATAGAAGTACAATATTTATTATTTTATTTCTATTATTATTTCTATTATTTATTTTTACCTACGTGACTTTATCGAATAAACCTAAGAGTATAACCATTTTTGGCAATCCACTGCTGGATAAGAGTCTCCCCGTGCCGAGCGGTTCGTTGGGGCGTTATCAGACAATACTTCACGACGCTGTTCAATGCGAGTTGGTAAATCCAGGGCGTGTAGATGTGGGAGCATATAAGTATAGTCTAACAATGGGTTTTTGTCTTCTTGGTTCTTTCGGTAAAGTCACGTAGAAGGGAAGTAATAAAATAATAAAAATAAAACATAATAAAACAATTCTCACGATGTTTCGGCTACAACGCAAGCAGCCGTCTTCAGGTGAAGAATGAGACACTACCAAGCTAGGAGCTTATATATACGCTGGGTTGGAGGTGCATATATATAAGCTCCTAGCTTGGTAGTGTCTCATTCTTCACCTGAAGACGGCTGCTTGCGTTGTAGCCGAAACGTCGTGAGAATTATTTTATTATGTTTTATTATTGTATTACTTCCCTTCTACGTGACTTTACCGAAAGAACCAAGAAGATGAATCCCTGCAGTCACGAAAGCTTTAAATCGAAAAATGGGTTTTTGTTTTTCTGCACCGCCCTCTGTGGCCCAGCATGTAGCGCCGCAGCAGCCTATAACATCTGTCAAAAACGGCAGTTGCCCATCCAAACATTACCCAGGCTTAACCCTACTTAGCTTCCGAGACCTGGTAAGTTTGGGCACATTCCGAGTGGTCTGGAAGTGGGCTCATGAATTAAACAGCGACATTGCTACTTTTTTGTCTTTCATATTCAGAAAAGCCACACATACCAACCACTCATCCTTGACCTGTTCACTGGCATATTTGAGTGCATTTTTAACTGCTATCCACTCATACATTTGTGTTTTCTCCAGATCCTCCGACCAGTCAATCGCTCAATAATGGAATTTGCCAAACTTCCGAACACAGGGCACTGCTTAAAAAAAGGTTGAAGACTCAGTGAGGCCTTCCTGTATAGACAGAGAGAATTGTGTATTATTTTTTAAAGACTAATTCTTCGCAAGGATAACTCCTCTGGAATGCTTCGCCGATCCCTTCATTGAGCATCTTTGCACGTGGCAGGAAACCACACAACGGAGCAGGAGAAGACCTCACGTGCACACAAAATTTGGGGGGGTGGGGTGTGTGGCGAATAAAGATTCACAGACAATATGCCAATACACGTCACATACACAATTCAATAAAGAGAGGGGGGAGGGTAAGTATTAGCCAGCCCCCACCGAGTCACAATACTCCATCCCCGAGCTGAGCGTAGTCCACGTAAACATTTTAAACAGGGGGCTGCTTTTGGTCTTTACAAGTGGCGATAACCAGACGGGCTTTTTATTTTTACATCACCAACCTTGCAGCGTGACATCAAACCGACTGGCCCGGACGCAAACAGCTGTGCGTGCATATAATGGTGTTTATTTTACTCGCTTTACTGCCAATTCCGCCCCGCTGCCATACATTTAAGCAATCCAAACAGAAACGGCGGCGTTCAGAGTCGCTTTCCCGGGAACAAAAGGGAAGCCAAAATATCCACAAATCAGTTGAGCTCGCAGCCAAAACACTCCCCCGAGTAGCCTGCGCGGCTCCTAAGCCAGAGCATGTCACAGCGTGCTCACAAATCCACGCGTCGTAAAACTCCCCCCCCCCCTGACCCACTCCCCCACCAAAATCTGCCAGTCGCAATATTGTAGCCACGAATTCCTCGTCTCTGACGAAGAGCCCGTTGCTCTAAATCTTGACCTACTAATGTTTTGTTTTTTTTCAGGTACGAGCCAGCGATGCTGCGTGTCGTGTTGATGTGTTCTTGGTCCACGTTTATGCGTCACTGACAAAACCCACGCAGATTCCCCCCTCTACATTTAGTTTTCTTACGGCAAGTTTTAGTCCGCGCGACGTCCGACTGCTGTTTTCTTGCTTGCGAAGGAGCGGTGGCGCAATTATTGGCGCGAATGCAGCGATGGACCCGTTGACCTGAGTCTGTTACGTGGCCACGGCTAACACGAGTCGTGAGCAACATCTAAACTGGTCATGGGCTCCTCTTCACCAACTGGCACTGGCCACAGCATTGTGAAGTACGGTCAAACCACCACCCACAAATCAATATGACATGGGGAGCCCTTATTCCAGCAATGGACTTAACAAGGAAAGCAAGTACTTAATTGTTTTTGTATGTCCTTGTTTGCACAGATTTTCTCTGGATACTCCCATTCCCATCTCCAAACTAAACAAAAACAATGCGGACCTGGCCAAACATCCAAATGCAGGAGCCTCCTGAAAGATCATTCATACTCATAGATGCTTTTTGAAAACAAGAATATCATTTGGCTAGCCGTTTTGTAGGATTCGGACAAGCCAGTTTTTTGTTTTGTTTGATCAATGCTGTTGGGTTTTTGACCACAACCCCTATCAGGCCTCACATAGATTACTACCTAGCAAAAGTGTATCCTCTTGAGCTGGGTGACTAGGCCAAAGGGGGGTGGTGGAGAAGAGGGCCTTGGAGGGAGGATGTGGGGAGTGTAGAGTGGACGATAAAGAGATGGCATGGCAAGGGACGAGGGCACACGTGGTGTGGCGGTGTAGGATCTGTACGATAGACGGCGAGATAAACGACCTTTATTTATTTATGAGCAGGTAAGAGCCCATTGAGAGCAAGCCAATCTTTTTTTTTCTTTTAAAGGCAGACCACAAGGGTCAATCCGTTCTTGCGCCGGGCTTGTATTACCCAAGGCACAGCAGCACATGTGCGCGGAAATGCATTGCCCCAGTGGAAATGTTTGTGTCCGAGAGACAGGGGAGGGAGAGGGTTGGGTTGGGTTGGGTGGCCGGGAGAGAGAAAAAAACACAGCCGACGCTAAAAATAAACCGGCGGCGCATTTATATTTATATTTGTGACTTTCAACCGGCAAATGTGAAATAGGGTCAGCGTGGAAGGGAATTTGCGGCATCGTGGCGGTGAATTGCCGCCCCTTGTTGTGAAACCGAGAAAGGCCGGCTCATTATTTCAATTACGCGCTCAAGAGCGTTGTCGAGTGCCGCTGTGCGCGCGCACAAACGCGATGGAGACGAATCCTGTTGTCCACGGTCCTCGCGTCGCAGGCGCGACGGCTTTTATCCACACGCACCGATAGATCTGTGAACGCTTGCATTATCCGCTGGTTTTACACCTTACGAGTTTGTCCGAAAGCGTCAAAAATGGATTAGGGCGCAATCCGATTGTCTTTCCGTCGGTCCTCAAAAGATGGGATCATGGTAACCATCGTAACGACGAACCAATGTAAAAAACAAAACGTCAGTCCAAAGTTGTAAGGGAGACAAATGGGGGGGGGGGTGGGGGGCGAACTGATTCAAGGGTTTAAAAACTCAGCTTGCCAACAGCGGGTAAAAAGCCTTCACAGCCAAAGCCGTGATGACATCACGCGCACCAAACGTGCCCCCCCCCCCCCCCCCGCTAACAATGCCACGACGTGCGGTGTCCCACACACACACACCATGAGCGCGAGTCGGACGCCGATACTGGTCGCTGGGATCGACAATTAAATCGTTGGGTGAAAATAAAGCGCAAAAACCAACGACTGACGCCATCCTCTGCTTAATTCATCCAATTATAAGGGGGCTATTTTTTTCCATGTTCCGCACTCTAATTTGGAGTTAGAGGAGTCAGCCAAAAAAATGGCGGATAACTTCCGTCCTACTATCCACGAATTTCAACAGGTAAAGTAAGGGGGCTTACTTAGGACGTGTCAGCAAATTTCGTCCTTTCATCTGCCACGGTGGCCAACATCGGTGGCGAGCGATGTATCCGAAACAGTCCCCCCCCCATCAAACCCACACTGACCAGCATGGCGAAGTATGGTGGAGCAACTCCCACGACTGACACGGTTGCAGGGAGGCCTCCATCTGCATTACCGTTATGTTGTATATTATGATGCATGTATATTATATTGCAGGAACAACGCGGTGTAGGAGTATACACGCCTCTTAACGTGCGCATTCGTAACCAAACCCAATTCTATCACGTGGCCTCTTTACCAGCACAGCAGATGCTTTGCATTGGCAAGTGCAGATTACATTTTAACAAAAGCAGAGATTGCTGACTCGCAATACAGGTAAAATCAGAATCTCCAAACTTATGTATTTGTCAATGTCTCCAAAACGTTCTGCCAAAACTCAATGTAAAATGTACTATCCGTTTAGCAATTGGTTAGCTGCTTGAACATGCGGATGTTACGTCTAATTATCTGGCAGATACTGCGTTTGGCAGTGGTGCACAGGCAAAGATTACAAAAGCCTCACATTCATCAATAACGCGGTGGCCTTAAAAGGGAATAAAATTGATTAAATAGACTAAATGATTCATGTGCCGTGAAATCAGGTCACTGCCCGAAACGTTTCCTATTATATATTTGTATTTTAAGGTAGTCGTGTGTTGACAACAGAGCTGTGCGAGCTATTATCACGGTGATATTTAGGGCAATGGATAACACCACACAATGGCCAAACCTGCCACTTATGTCAACGGTAATGCCGCGGAAACTACGGCCTTTCTCGTGCACGTCTATGGTTGGGGTCTAGGTACGGGTGAAAAAGAAGGAGAAGTCCAACACACAATGCACAAGAGAATGGTCAGTTGTCATCACGACATGCAACGCATGCTGCCACCCCCGTTGTATTTTTTTTGTTTTTGCCAAAGATACTTTTTTTTCTGTTCACATACAAATGATTCAAGCACGAATTGTTACGTACGCACGTGATTGATGGGTGTGCCGACGTGAATTTGACTCGACGTTTCAAACAAACCAGATGCTTGACAACTTTAGAGGTTTCATTTCAAACACAAAGGGTAAAGGTGGGAGGGCCTCCGCTCGTGGGTTCAAACACATTCCCCGTTGTTTCAACTGCCGCGCCAGGAGATCTAACCGGCGAACTCTGGATCGCAATTCCATTGCGCTCATCGTTACACCGCGTGCCAGCGGCCCCGATTTTAACATTTCCCGTGCTTCAACGTTTTGTTACACGCGAGCTTGCTTGCATAATAAGACAATTAAGGGGGCGCAGCTGCGCAATATTGCGCTCCTTAAAAATGTGTCAACTGAAATTTCCGAATTTTCACGTGATTCACAAATGTGACTGATTGTTGTGAAACTCTGCACGTGTGCTTGAGGTGAAGTTACTTTCTTCGTTTCACTCTTGCATGTGGGATGTTTATTTAAGCGGAAAATATGCGGTGGGTTTGGTTGGCGGTGTGGTGGGTGGGGGTCATAAACATTGAGCTGGCACCACTGAAAACATTGGTTAGAATCCGAGTTTCAGACAGCTGTGATGAATCCGGGTTCAAGTGTAGCAAATTACCAGTGTATGATAGTCCAATGTTAATATGGCATTGTATTGAGGGGCTACTTTGTGTTATCTTGGTGTGGGTCTGGGACCGTTTTGTTTTTTGGCTGCCTTGCCCGATGTTAATGAAATGGACTTCTATAATTATTTATATTTCGTGACTTGCTTACCATTTTCTCTATTCTGCACTCCAAGGTGTTTGTTTTCATAACAGAGGTTATTTGTGTTAGATCGCATGAACATATAAATGTGCCATTAAAACCCACCAGCATTGTAAATGTTGTGCTGTACTAGTGACGAATTGGCCACGTTCTGTTAACGTGACAACCCTTACTAGTTGGCTGTGTCGGGTGGTGGCGGTTTTAACGACACATTTCTATATTTACGCGATCTAACCCAAAAAAACCTCTACTATGGATGATATTGGTCGCGAAAGCCTACGTGTTAAACTGTGTTTGTATTGTTTGCTCTTGTGACTTTGCCGACCCCGTGCCCATACTGGACATCTGTGAAAAAACAGCTTCATCAGCTCATCGGATTCCTCCTCTCAGTCTCAATAAACGTTCTGATTCTGAGTGAGTAAAATGTGCTGCTGCACTATTTGCCTATCAGAGTACCCCCCCCCTCTCCCCACCGCGGTTACAAAAGGCCCACGCTGGAGACCGCCCAACCCCCACGCCCCCTCCCCGCGCGCTCACCTGAGCGTACTGATCGCGGCCGCCTCCGCAGTGATCCACCGCTCCCACCATCTGCTTCAGCCCTTGCTCCTCGTTGGCCTGCATCTGCCTCGCCGCCAGGCCCTCTCCCCTCTGCGCCTCGCCCAGCGACCACTCGTCCCTGGGGCTCGCCTCGCGCTCGCCACCAAAAGCGGCGCGGGCCTTCCTCCTGGCTGCGCCGTCGGCGCCGTTCGACAGGTCCCTGGCGCGGTGCTTGCCGCCGCCGGCGCCGCTTCCCTTCCTGTCGCCGCCGTGCTTCCTCGCCAAGGCCTCCTGTTCGTCGGCGCCGGCGAGCGGCGGAGCCGAGCCATAATGCTGCTGCTGCTGCTCCATGTAGGGATAGCCGTACATGTACTGCTGGTAGTTGGACATGTGTGGGGACAGCCGGGACAGCTGCTGAGTCAAGGGTGGGGGGGTATCCTCGCGCTCGCTCTTCACCGCTTGGCGCTCGCTGCACAGCGGCGGCGGCGCCGCCTCCTCGTGCTCCTTCTTTATCATCTGGCCGTTGTGGACGGCGGCCGCGGCGGCCGCGGGAGGTTCTCCGTCGCCGCCCTCGGCCGCCGCGTTCTGCGGCGCCGGCTCCACGGGGGAAAAGTACGGCCTGTAGCTGCCGAAGAAGGCCGGGTCGTCGCTCCGGAGGGCGCGCGTGTCCAGCGTCGTGAGCTCGGCGTCGCTGAAGCCCAGACCCTTCGGGACGGCGGAGGACTTCTTCGACTTCTCTCCGCCACGCTCCTCCTCGTCCGAGATGTCCGAGTAGGCCGGGCTGCCGGCGTTGGAGGCCGGCGGTGCCTCCAAGCCGAGGAGGGCCGCGCCCTGCGGCTGGGCCGCCGCGGGCGCCGCCTTGCCGTTGGGCACGTGGGGGGGGCGCGCGCCCTCGGCCTTGCAGCCGACGCCGATGCAGGGGCTCGGCGTGTTGTCCGAGAAGCTGTAGACCTTCGCCGCCTCCTCCTTGATGCTCGCGATGCGCCTCTCGGGCGACTCGGCGGCGGCCGAGCCGTTGGTCAGGCCCTCCGTCTTGACGACGTAATCCTTCTTCAGCGACTGCAGCAGCTCGCCTCCCGATGCCTCCTTGGCCTCGTCCGACCGCCCGATGACCTTCAGGCTCAGCTTGAGGCTCACCGTCTCCTTGGCGTCCCGCTCTTTCGACTTCCTCTTGTCCTTCTTCTTCTTTTCCTTGGCGAGCAGCGCGTTGGCGGCGGAGGCTCCCGCGCCTTCCGAGGGGCTGTTGGCGCGGGCGTCTTTCGCGCGCGGGCCGTTTGTCTCGTCGCCGGCTTCCGGCGGAACCGAGCTGCCGACGCCACCGCCACCGGGAGCGCCGAATGCTCCCTTGCCCGCCGGCGACGCCTCCTGACCGGCGGCCGTTCTGTTCTTATGCGGGGACATTTTGCCTTCCGTTTTGATGCCGCTCGCCTTCTTGACCGCCTCCGTGTCCGCCTCCTGCCGGGAAGCGCCGCGGGCCGAATGTTCGGCTTCCGGCTTGGGGGCCTCGGCGACAGCGGGGTTTGCGGCTCGTTCGCTCGATGCGTCCGCGGGCTCCCCCTTGACTTTCTTCGCGTGACCCCTCGCTCTGCCGCCGAGCGCTGGCGGCGAAGCGCCGCTCGGGTTGTCTGCTCCGTTCAAGCCGGCAATGCTCTCCTCGGCCCGAGCGCCTTTCAAGCGCTCCGAGCACTCGGTCTTAACCCCGCCGCCGCCCGTCCCATGCTCCAACATTCCGTTCGCCCTGGAGGCACGGGCGCCAAAGCCAGCGGCGCCATCTCCGCCGCCCTCATCGTCCGCCCGGCCCCTGCCTGGGTCCGCCTTGTCCTCGTTCTCCAGGTGCGCGTGCGCCTGGTGGTACTTGAGTCCGTTGATGTGCCGGTACTTCTTGTTGCAGTTCGGGTGCGGGCAGTCGATGAACGTGGGCGATGACGACGACGAGGACGAAGACGAAGACGACGAGGACGACGACGATGGCGGCGTGAGGCCCAATTGCTCCACGGCACCGCCGTCGGCGGAGGCTGCCACGGCGCCACCGGATCCGGCGCCGTTCCCTCCGCAGCCCGCAGCCGCGGTCCTCGCCGCGCTCAGCCGCAACCGCTTGCCGGGCCGCGTGCCCTCCTCGCTCGCCGCTTGCTGCTGCTGCTGCTGCTGCTTCGACAGCGCCGATGACAGCAATGAAGACGCTACTGCGGCGGCGGCCGCCCCAGATATCGCCGACATATCCAACGAGGGACGGCCTTTCCGTTTGCCGCCAGGGCCCACCCGCGGGCTCTCGCCGTGGTGCAACGAGCCCCAGTGCCCGTTCGACGTGAGGTTGCCCCTACGGCCCTTCCCTCCGCCGCCGGTACCGACAGAAGAGGAGGCGGCAACGTCGCCGCCGCCAGCGCCGACCGCGCTTCCCGCTCCGCTGCCGCGGCCCTTGCCCTGCATGGCCACCCGCGCAGCGTCGCCCGTGCCGCACGGCTCGCCCAGCGTGCCCGAGCTGGAGGTCGCGCGGGTTCGCTTGCCACGCCCGCGGCCACCACCTCCGCTGCCGCCGCCGCCGCCGTTGCCACGAGCCTCCACGTCGCTCACGGGCGACTCGCAGAACCTGGCGGGGGAGATGACATGAGCGAGCGCACGGGTACAAGCACGCACTCGCCACAGCGGAGATGACAGCCGCCATTCGCCGCCGATTGCCCCTTTTGCCGCGTGTTCGAGCCGAGTCAGCTTGGGACCCACACGGCGTTTTGATTATTTTGATTATTTGGCTGCTGTTAATTTCGACGTGATAAGCCACTTCATTGAGTCGTTACTTGTGACCAGGCTGCTTCATTTTTTTGCGTAATTTCGCTACCTTTCTTATATTTTGTACTCCGATTATATTTTTGTATTGTTTGTTGTAACTTTATGACCAGCCTCTACTGGGCATCTGTGCAAAAGAGCATTCCAGCTCATCGGATTCCTCCAGCATGAACAAATATTCTGAAATATTCTGATTCCCATTCAGCTGGCTATTCGCCGAGTTGAGACGGAACCAAAGCAGAACGATTTGGGCTTCGCAAGACATTCCAAACCTGGCTCTGAGTCACGGGGGAAAGGACGAGCGGGGGGGGGGTGCTAACGATGGGGTTCACGACGGCATGCGACGTCGCTTGGTACGCAATTGACGACACACGGGGTCACAACAGCATGCGTCCCGGCTCGTCCGTTGTGCGCGTCTCGTTCGCCGCACGAGCTTGGCTTTTTTGCAGCGGGGAAAGAAAGCAGAAACCTCGTGCCACTTGAGCCGCACCGGGCTCTCAGGTGGCGTAAGCGACGAGGACGTAACCAGGCTAGGTTCACTTTGAGACCACGTTAAGTGTTGAAGGCTCGCTGGCATGCAGCCACTAGGACAGCTCCAGATGCTATGGGGGTTAACCGAATGAGATGACTGGCTAATGCACCACCTGTGCTTGGCACTGTGCCATAATGCACGCACACAGATTAATGTGCACGTATTGCAAGTCAAAGACAAAGATCCCCCCGTGCAAGCCTTACGACTTTTGGGGCAAGTGCTGTCAGTGAGCACCTATGAAGGCTGGCGCGGCACACGAGGGGCGGTGTGGGGTGGCCAGGATCGTGCCCGGCCTCACCTTCTTCTACCAGTGGGGTTCAGATAATCGTTACTGGTGTTGACCGTGAGCAGGAATCGAACTCGGGTTGTGGCATATTTGCACTAGCCGCTGCCCTACCACTCCCTAAGTCGCAAAGATAAAGATCCCCCGTATAGCCTTAACAGACTGTAGGGGCAAGTGCTGTTAGCGAGCACCTATGAAGGCCGGAACGGTACACGAGGGGGTGGGTGGCCAGCACCACGCCCGACCGCCTTTGTCTCCCTAGTGGCGATGTTTACACACCGCACCAGGTACTCATTTGAGGCTGAGTCGACCTTGGGGAGGCCCAGGACCGGTTCAGATAATCGTCACTGGTGTTGGCCATGAGCGGGAATCGAACCCGGGTCACCAGGTCTGTAGTGCAGCGCGCTAACCACTACACTACCACTCCCCACTAAAGATCCATGTAAGCGCATTATGTACAGAGGATCATGTAAACCTGGTTCAGTGCCCAACATTCAAATGCATGACCCTCCTGAAAACGAGTCTGAGGACTTGGCGAGGCTTTTACGGATAACGGGAGATGTTTTACACTAATTATAAAACGGCATCTCTACGTTAGTCCAAGTTAAAGGATTACCTTGGTGGAGCCCAGTCGTGCTTTGTGCAGTCCAGCAGCGTCCCCACGTACGTTTTATTTCTCCACGCCACATTAACAACAAGCAAGCCTGCAAGAGAAAAAATGGCAAGGATTATTCACCGGCCTTTGGGTCGTAGGGTGCAATTTACAGGTTAAGAGTTGAGCCAAAGTGTTCTGCAGATCAAACCGATGACGGCCGGCAACTCATCTTCGTCGATGGCCCCTTATCCGGTAATGGAAATTCCACATTGCCGTGGCGAAGGCCAGGCTATCCGCAGGACTACTATTGGCTTCATGCGGACAGCGGCGCTGCTCATTTGAGGACGATGGACCGATTTGCTCGCTCCCCGACTGGGAATTGAACTCGCGACCTTCCGATTGTAAATTAAGCACTCTAACCACTGCGCCACACGGCCAGATGGTACGCAGCGGTACAATTATCAACATGCCCTTTAACCAAGTGAGAGTCAATCGAGAATCATTAGACCTTTTTCAAAAACACACTCGGGTGAACACAGCAACTGCAATTAGTATTGCCTGCATGAATACCGACCTGTCAGCGATTGTGCTAATGGCCTTTGCTAGAATGTGTTTTATTTTATTTATGGTTTGGTTTAACATCCACCCCACCTTCCCACCACCACCCCATGTTATCGCCGCTGACACAATATTAACGGAGTGTCACGAGTGGAAGAATCCATTCGGAAATCTCGCAGAGCGGAAATCTGCAACCCCGCGCGCGCGCGCATCGTACAACGGCTGCGGGAGGCGATTTATTTTTCATCCCCACACGGCTTCCGAAAACAAAAAATTCCATCAAGCGGCGCTTTTTGTCGTTCGCGCTGCAGTGGTCGCATTTCCCCACATCGCTCTGCTACGAGACAAATCGCCGCACGACAGCGGTCCGAACCTACTGGTTTTTAATTCCGAGCGCCAGACATTGCCTACACGGAGTGCAAAAGTAAACGTGCATTCTATTGCGTCCGCAGTCATCGGTGACCGGCTCCGAGACCACCATCAACTTGCTAAACTTCAGAACCCAGTTAAAACTATTAAACTACTAAAACCATTTTTTAAGTAAATATTTTTTTTCATTTAATTATGCGTGTTAATTTTCTTAATAATTTTCATAGTTTTTTGTTATTAAATTTGATGCAGAACCCAGTTAAACTATTAAACTACTAAAACTTTTTTATTTCACCAGGTAAGGCCCCCTGAGCTATACAGCTCTTTTTCAGAAGCAATTCTGGCCCCAAAATGATAGTGCAACGAAGTGGCTTACCATGTGAATAATTTATTGCGGCCAAATTTCCAAATACATGTTTTTAAATGTGGAGGGAAAACCCGGAGGACCCAGAGAAAAAGCCATGCAAACTCCGAATATGCAGCAGGCATCAGGGTCGGGATCAAATCCAGGACCTCCAGTATACCAGGTGAGGGAGCTAACATCTCTGAACTTACAATAACAGCGACTACACGCGCACACCTGGGCAAGGGCCCCTTCCTTTCAACATGGCACATTTTCCCCCAACCCACGACCCCCCCCCCCACGCACATAATCTGTTTGCGGCTTTCAAACACGCGATCGAAAGAGCATCAATTCTTGCCAAAATACTCTTTGTGAAAAAAAAACACCACTGGCAAGAAGCCAACAACAATATCATCACACACACAAACCAAAACACATAATCTGGCCAGGTGGCAATGTCGTTAGAGCGACCGATGCACGGTTGCAGTAGAGTTGAGAGTTCAAATCGCAGGTCTGGTGGGTTAATCAAATGCGTACCGCGCATGTGGGAAGTCAACACTGTGTCTTCATCAAACGGATAGACTCGCTCCTGCCATAGTAATGTGACATTTCCACAACCGGGTGATTAGAATGGAGATGGAGCACCGTCCCATTGTTCGTGTATGTTTGATTAATTTATATTCCCTTTAGATTTTAAATTGTACCATCATGTCCACGCAGCTTGCAGCAATGCATCACACCTCGTGTTAGCAAATGGGTCAGAAAATTAAGTCAGAGAACTATGAGAATAGGTTTCCCCCCATTTTTAATGGCAACAAAACAGTTGTGTTAGGATGTTAAAACGCCAAACTGAAACATTTTACAAGGAATCATGTCTGCATTAACCACAATACGTGTGGTCCGAATGCAAACAAAAAACGTACTCTGATAATATATGCATTATCTTTGAAACTGCCAGAAAAAAAAGGGGAAAACCTTTTCTCATATTTTGGTACTGGCAAAGGAGGTCCCATGATGTAAATTCTCTCCCCGAGCCCTCGTTACTCTGATAGTTGGCATTGTCTTTGTGCTGTACGCTTTTTGGCATCCTCTGGTCTAACACCGTTTTGAGACTAGGCTCAAAAGAAAACGGTCTCTGGTGTGGACCAATCTATTTTAAAGACAATGCATGTATTATCAGAGTACGTTTTTTTTCCCATTGTAACCACAAGTATTGTGGTTATTGCAGACATGATTCCTTGTAAAAGGTTTCAATTTGGTGTTTTAACATCTTAACACCTGATTTGTTGCCAGAAAAAAGGGGAAAACCTATTCTCATATTTTGGTACTGGCAAAGGAGGTCCCATGATGTCAGAGAACCCACTTCTGAAGTCAATTTAATAGGTCTCGTTATCCACATTCAGGGGACACACATTGTGTTGTGCCCTGCAAAAAGTGTTTGTTGCACGTCAATCAAACCAAATTGTTTAGGCTTGGAATAAGCCAAGTAAAAAAAAACAACCTTTTATTACATTTTGTACTGTGCAGTCATTGGTGACCGAACCGACAAACAGTGCCCCAATACAGATGAGAACACAGTTAAATTCACGGGCGGCTGAAACCCGGGATTGGAACTCGGCATCTCAGCGGTTGCCAGCTTCGGTGCCACTACGACTTCCGTGCCATCTGGCCCATCTCGAAAAAAATATAAAAAACACTTTTGTCTGGTTAACTTTTCATATCCGGCTGGCGCGCTATACTCTTCCAGCACTTCAAAAGGGGGATGGTGTTACAGACATTAAGGGTTCATCTCAACTTGTTTCGAGATTACAAAAACACTGAGCACAGCTCTGCATCAAAGGGGCCTTGTACAATCTTATCTTCTCCGGACATTTGTTATCTGTCAGTGTGTGGTCTATCTCTTGTTTTTTTTTTTTTATACACTCCTTGCCAGTTAAAAATAGAAGACACAACTGACGAAAACACACCCAGGATGTGCACATTTGGCCTGCGATCCGGCAGACGTGGCTAAAGCACTTTAAATCAGTCAGAAAGACGCGTTGTATCCTAAAGTGAAGGTGATTGTATATCATAATAATGATTATTTTTGCACCATTTTATCCATCCCCCTTGCGGACAAAACCCTCTGCATGCCGTGTCGGTTGTGGAGGTTGTTTGACCATACTTCACCACGCTGGTCAGTATAATTTCGTAAAATAGGAAGACTGGGTTCAGATACTGCTCACCGCCACCGATATCCGCTGTGACCAGGAATGCAAAAGGAGGTCACATCCTCCCTCTCGTCCACTTACTCGATGTCTCGTGCCACACGATGCCTTCCAGGCACACCGTGGTGCCGGGATCGCAAGGGCCCAGGCACTCCGGCTCGGTCAGCGTGCTCGCGTCACGAGCCGTCCCGGCCACGCAACGCTTCCGGCCGGTTCCCATCTCAGTCCCGGCCATTGCTGCCGCCGCCGCCGCCGCTAGCGCCGCTCCTCCCGAGGATCTTCTCCGCCGCTGCTGCTGCTGCTGCGGCTGCGGCGACTGCTGCTGCGGCTGCTGCTGCTGCTGCGGCTGCGGTTCCGACGAAATTTCCGTCGTCGCTGTCGTCGCTGGGCTTGGAGAAGAGCGCAGTGAAGCGGCGGCGAGGCTGCCGCCCTCCCCGTCGGACGTCGTACAGCCCGGGGAGGTGGAGGACGGAGGCACGGCCGGTATCAGGAACGCTGGGTCCGCCTGCAGGAAAAGATGCGTAGCAAAATGACCAGAATATAGATATTTTAAATGGGACCATGTTGACCAGCATGGGAAAAGTATGGTCAAATAACCGCGAAAGCTCGCGTGGTGTGGGGAGGCCTTCACCCCACCACCAGTGGACTGATGAAACAGCTGTGCACAGACACAGAATGCCAATACACAAATCTGCTTTGGCATTGCACATAGTTTTTCACAGTCAATACTATTCTCATTTGAATCGGATTGTTGCTCAGGTGAATTCTGCGAAACACCCATTTAAGAATCTGGGTCAGGGGATATTGATGTTCTGACTTTCCAGATTCTGACTTAAAGCCGCTAGGCCAAAACTAGTTGCCGAGCGGAAGCCGAAAGCCGGTATTGTGTTTTTTACTCGTTCAGGAGCCTTAATTCTCACGATATATGGTGCAAATAAATAAACGAATCAAGGTTTGTGCCTCTACGGACATTGTTTTAATGATTCAGAATATTTTTTTATTTAGACTAAGCTATGAAGCTCTTTTTAACAGATGTCTAGGAGGGGCAGGTCAGCAAAATCAAGGCCACCAGCAAAGGGCCTTACAGACCAATGTTTCACTGCAGCGTTTATTTAAGCTGCCAAACTCTGGCCCTACTTCAATCTTCAGAGTCTCATGAGCAGCCAGGCTGATTAAAACAAATGCCGCCGCCTCGCCAGATGTTATCGACAAAAGCCATCTGATAGCGCGTTTGACACGATAATAAGAAGTCCGATGGTAATGTTTGTGTTCGTTGGGCGTTAGCGATTACGCACGGGCTGTAACCATGTGCAGTATCAGACCACAATCATTGCCAAATGGGAGCGTGGAAACAATGTGCGATGGAGAACAGAGAAGCACCGATATGCTTGACTAATCATGGGATGTGACTGGTGTGCATAGTTGTGCGAGTGACATAGTAATGCGCGCTTGTGTACTCATGTGCCCACAGGCTACGCAAATTTTGACTGGCCACATGACCCAATCATAATAAACATTTTGTTGGGTTATGTCGGGTAAATATAAATGCGTCGTTAAAACCGCCACCACCCGGCCACAGCCGATGAGTAAGGTTTGTCACGGAAACAAAACGTGCAAATTAGTCAGCACACCAAGAGTAACCCACAGCATTTACCATTTGAGTACTGTAAATCACTCTCAAGTTCGTTCGTCGAGTACCCGACACAGAAACATTCGTGAGAATTTACTGCGTGCCAAAGTGTGGAAACATTACCCCAGCGACTGTCCCTATAATCGCAGTTCAGCGCGACCACCGAAAACACGTTAGTTCAAAGTGTCGGTGGAGTGATGCATCGATTTGTTTCCATTACAGTGGCAGTCGATTTTTCTCAGGCTCACGGTGGTGGCCAGGTCATACGACGCACGTGAATGACATCGCACGTGTGAGGATCTACGTTTTCTTTTGTTCGTTTTGTACACCGTGCGCAGGTCACACTGTAAGCGGCCCTCCAGTTATTCCCCTCCACATTTAGAAACATGCTTGTAGATTATTTAGATAATTATGCTGCCATAGATTTCCACGCGGATAAGCCACTTCTCATTGAGCTATCATTTTTTGATGGCCAGGTCACTTCTTAAAAATAAGCTAAGCATTACCTGGAAAGATTAAAAATATATATGGTTTTATTTGTACTTATTCGAAGTGATTTGTTTACATGTCCTATACTTTACACTCCTATCGTGTTTTTGTATTGTTTGTTGCTGTAATGTTCTGATCTGCCCTGACTGGACATCTGTGAAAAAAAAAAAGCTTTGTAGCTCATCGGATTCCTCCTCCGGTATAAATAAAGATGCTGATTCTGGAATATCAGATTCAGAGTCACCCACGCAAGCAGGTGCGAGACACACTTGCGTCCACAAGAAGCTGCTACAATTACAGAAATGTTGTTAAACATAATGGAGTAAATCCTGGAACGAACTTGTGATCATAAATCAAGACAGTCTGTTGCATCTTGAGGGTTGCGAATCGTTACACTGATTTTAAGAAGAAGCAGCCCCATTAAAACTTGGACCGTCAATAGTATGAGTCACGGGTAACAGGGCCACCGACGATAAGAGGAGTTTCACTGCGACACAAACTGACCGTACGAACTCCCACAAAAAACAACTGGCTCTTTGCACGGAGACAAACACAGGCCCAACACAGCCCAGCAACACGACTCGAACTCGGGTCTCAGAAACGTGCTCCGCTGGACCAGCTGGTGACACGGGGAAGGCATCGCAGCTCCTCCAGCCGAGTCAACGGGAACTTTGCCAACAGCGGCGACTGGCGTTGCTCGTGTCAACAGTTCCTAGTTCACGGGAAATCAAACCCAACGGGGGCAACTCCATTGCTCACGCCAACGGCTCCCGAATGCGGTGCGTCAGCCTTTTCAGCCAAGCGGCATGAATGGGGGGTCAATATGACTCAAGCCTTGTTTACAGCCAGCGCTTTCTCTTTAAGTCAACACGGCGAACACAAGCTTGTCACCCTTATTGAGTCAGTGCTCGAGTGAACGTGCCTGTCAAAGGGAGTGGGGGGGCTGGCGAGGCTGGCGGGGCTAGCGGGGGGGGGCTCTTTGTTTGGAAGTGAGTGGTGGTGGTGGTGGGGAGGGTGGGAGATGCAACGGCAAGGCAATTCGGCAGGACTGTTGGTTTGACCATGACACCCGGCGCATAATGGCTCAATTCGGGGCGGGCCGGTTTCTAGGCGGATTACCGCCGCACGTAATTGGTGGGGCCCCGCGAACAACAAGAGGACCCGAGCAAATCGCACGGGTGAATTTCTCTCCACGGTGCTGCTTTCCAAGCATTGTTCGCCGGGCACCCAAGACTCAGCCACCACGCGCTGTGTCGCAAGGCTGGAGTGGGAGTGATGCAATGACAGTGTGCTTGTGTGTGTGCGCGCCCGCCAGCTGCGTCCTAACTAACCAAAAGGCAAGCTCTGCCTTTAGCCACTACTAACGATTGTCAAAGTGTCTCAAGTGTAAGGCTATCTCTATTTAAAACTTTCGTGACTGCAGGGATTCATATTCTTGGCTCTTTCGGTAAAGTCACGTAGAGGGGAAATAATACAACAATAAAAATAAAACATAATGAAATACAATTCTCACGACGTTTTGGCCACAAACGCAAGCAGCCGTCCTCAGGTGAAGAACAAGTCTGTCGGAAAGACAGCTTGGTGGTGTTCATTCAGACGCTGTCTTTCCGACAGACCTGTTCTTCACCTGAGGACGGCTGCTTGCGTTGTGGCCGAAACGTCGTGAGAATTGTATTTCATTGTTTTATTTTTATCATTTTATTATTTCCCTTCTACGTGACTTTACCGAAAGAACCAAGAAGATGTAAGGCCATCGTCGCTCGTCTCGACTGGCAGCCGGCAAGAAAGTGATGGAAATTACACGTTCCCCTGGCGGAGGTTGGTCTATCCATGGGAACGGCCACGGTTAACTACCCACAAGGTTTGAAAGTTAGACCATCTCTGCTCATTGCCCCAGCGGGTCGGTACACACTCGTTTGAGCTACGCACTCGGGATGAAAACTGCACGGAATTAAAACCGCATTATCTTAACAGTGCCGGCTCAGTGGATCAGACACAGCCGCTGTGACTCCCCCCCTGGGACACGGGACCCATTTTCGTCCGCTAACCAGACAGGACTCGACAAGACAAAGTCAAAAGCGTCTCTCGCTGCGGCACAAACGAGCAATGATTCAGCGCCCATCTCTCCGCTGGTGGCCCACCGCAGCGGGAGGGCGAGAAGGAAAAACAACACAGGCCGGTAAAACTTCCCACAAAGTGGCACGAAATAATGAGAATCTTAAGTTATACTGGAGGAGGAATCCGGTGAAATAATAAGCTTTTTTTTTAGAGACGTACAGAAGGGGCGGGTCAGAAAGTTGCAACAAATAATACAAAAATACGATAGGAGCACAAAGTAAACAAATATATTTTAAAAAATTGTAAAACGTAACTTTTACTTTGAGCAGGTAAAGCCCACCGAGCTATTAGCTCCTTTTTCAGAAACGACCTGGCCACAAATGATAGCTCAACGAAGTGGCTTACATCACGTGAACATTAATAGCAGCCATTTAATCCCAATAATAAAAAATAAAGACAGAGCAGAAGCCCTGCAATTGCCTGCTCACACCACTGCCGGCAGAAGGGCCTCCACTAGAGGGAGCTCTAAGAAAGCCCTTTATTATGTCACCATTGGCCTTCTCTTCCATTCCGGCCAGACACCTTGGAAGGGGTGTAAGTACAAGTACTTTTTTTTTTCCTCAATCCAAACGCGACCCCACCAATTGGATCGACTCACCGTAGCGCGTTACCCCACTTGTACTGCCATCGTCCCACTTGCCGCGCCGCCGGGGAGATCGAATTAAAAAAAAACTCCGATTAAAAAGCCCGATGTGCAGACCCCATCACATCACCATCGCCCCGCCATCGTGGCACAGAGCCACCGATATACACATCCCTGGGACACCCATCGGCTGAGTCACGGCAAGTCTCACGCTACCACCCATTGTTCACAATCAACCTCATTTTAAGCCACAGAGGATGACGACGAGGACGATTTGGAAACCCGATCGGCTGGAACTAACTTTCAAGCAACCCCCACCCCCATCAACACAAAGCGGTGGTGGGCCTGGTGTTTTTTTGTATCCGAGTAGGAGTTAAGGCAAGTGCAGCTAAAGCTGCGATCCATTTGATGTGCTCACGTGGCCGACTCATTATAAGCGCCGTGAAGCCCCCCCCCCCGCCCCCCAGGAAGGCACGCAACTTTGTGTTTGTTCCATAGGTCAAGGACAGGCATTTGTGTAAAAAAAGGGCTCCGTTTGTCGTGGCCATTTAAAAAGGTCTGTGTTTGCCGTGGCTGTTTAATGTTCTACCGTTCACCTTTTGACATGCGGGGGGGGGGGGGGGGTTAACGCTTTTGCGTGTCTCTCTCTCGTACAAAAAGAAAAAAAAGTTTATTGCTAAATGCT